CAAGATCAAGTGGAATGGAAGTGATCAACATTCAAAGCTTCATGAAGATTTGACTGATCAACTTTCAAGTTTTGGACACAAGCTATGGTATATCAAAATCCATTAATTTAATTGATATACAAGTGTTCAAAATGTTTATCATTTGATCACATTGCATAAGCATATTTTTTAAACTATTAGAATTGGTATAACATTGTTTTTATAAGTATTTTTCTGAAAAATAGCAGTGTTAACCGATTAACCATATAGGTTAACCGGTTAACCATTTCAAATTTTAAATATTCTGGTATAATGTTCCAGTGTTAACCGATTAACCATATAGGTTAACCGATTAACACTGAACGTGTTTTGAAAAATGGCTTTGTTTCAAGTTCAAAAATGGTTTGAATATTATACCAGTTCATGTTTTGAATTATACTCAAATATACCTTTTGGAAAAGGTGTGTTTACACATATAAATTTTGAGTTTTTCAAGTTGAAATAACAATCTCCAATAATAAATTTCAAAATATTCTTTGAATCAAATTCACCACTTTCAAATACTTTTCAAATCTTTTCAAAAGTGTTCATATTGATCATATATTTTCATATGCATAGCATTGAACACTTGTGTTGAAATTAAAAGAGTGAATTTTGATCAGAAGGAGAAGATCAATCTTAGCATTGATATTACCACTATTACTCTTAAATCAAAGTATTCAGATTACTTGTATTTTAACTTGTGATCCAGGATTGTTGGACACAAGGGTGAGTGTTTACAAGAGGATTGTTCTTGTACACTTATTGATTTTTATTGTTTGATAGTAGGCCTCACCAGTTGATGGTGTGATAGGTTGTACTTTATTAAACAATAGTGAAAACTCTCTTTCATGTTGAAAGAGGAGTGGAGTACTCTCGGATTATGAGGGGAACCACAATAAATCTTGGTGTCCACTTTCCTTTTACTTTCTACTGCATTCATCACCAAGAACCTAACCAAAGAAAAATTAAAGAATACCAAAAATCCAAAAAAGTTTCCATAAGCCTAATTCACCCCCCCTCTTAGGCATACTCTGTACTTACAATTGGCATCAGAGCAGGTTAAGGTAACCTGTTCCTATCGATCCTAATGGCTTCCGCTAGTACTAACCCGGTTTTCAAAGATGGTGGAAGCAGTAACAAGCCACCACTCTTTTCTAGAGAATACTTCGATTTTTGGAAAATCCGTAGAAACTGGTCTGCATGTTCCTATGAGCGTCATAAATAACGTAGGCACTCCAAAGATAAAATCCTCATATGATGAAGATGACAAGAAGAGAATTTTGAATGAGAAGAAAGCAATCAACATACTTCAAAGAGCTCTCAGTATGGATGAATTCTTCCGTATATCACAGTGTAAATCAGCAAAGAAAATTTGGGACGCCCTGGTAGAAACGCATGAAGGGACAACCGAAGTAAAAAGATCAAAACTTAATACTTTAAGTCAAGAATATGAAATGTTTTTTTATACAGCCTGGTGAATCCATTGTTGCCTTACAAAAGAGATTCGTTCATCTAACTAATCATCTGATTGCTCTCGGGAAGACCTTCACCAATGATGATCTCAACTTAAAAGTCCTAAGATCCTTAACAAGAGAATGGCAACCGAAGGTGACCGCTATTTCGGAAAAGAAGAGTCTTTCAACGATCACATTCGCTTCCTTATTTGGCAAACTTCAAGAGCATGAACTAGAACTTGGAAGGCTTGAGAAGCATGAAAGTCAAGACAAGAAGTCCAAAGGAATTGCCTTGAAGATTGACACAAAGGATGACAAAAATGACGAATCTTCCGAAGACGAAAATTTCATGCTTCTAGCAAAGAAGCTTGGTAAGTTTTTTAATAATAATAAAAATTTCTCTTTTTCTAAAAAGAATAGAAATTTCAGGAAAAAGGAGGCACCCACATCAAACCAAGAAATTACATGTTACGAATATGGGAAACAAGGTCACATAAAGCCAGATTGTCCGAAACTCGCAAATAAAGGAAAATTCAAAGGCAAGAAGGATTTCAAAACGAAGAAGGCTTATGTTGCGTGGGATGACAACGAGATAAGTTCATCATCGGAATCAGAAAGCGATGAATGTGCAAATATGGCTTTAATGGCTTCACACCACTCCGATGAAGAAAATGAGGTTAGTAGTAATTTTTCTGTTTATGATAATGATGCACAAGAAGTTATAGATGAACTTCTAAAAGAATGCAAGACTTTGTATAAAAGCATCTCAGCACAACAGAAAAGAATTTCTTTTTTAGAAGAACAAAATTCTGTTTTTATGAAAAATATTGAAAATGAAAAACAGAAATTAATAGATGAAAAACAAAGTCTTGTATGTAAGAATTGTGAATCTCTATCTTTTCAAATTGTGCAACTTAAAAGAGTGTTAGAAAGATACGAAAAAGGTCAAATTGGCTTGGAAGAAATTCTTAAACATAAAAGATATCCTAATGATAAAAGTGGATTAGGATATTCTAAATTTTCAAAACCAAGTACTAATAAGACCATTTTTTTAAAAGCAAGTGAACAAGTTGCTAAAGAAAAGAGAAGCAATTTTAAAAATCAGCACCAAAATCATAACAAGATAAAAATTGCAAAGAAAAAGAATTATGTTCCTAGATATAGAAGTCACTTTCAACCTACATGTTCTTATTGTGGAATTAAAGGTCATACACCTAATGCTTTCTATGTGTGCAATATTGGTGTTGCTAAAGGGCATTATGTGTGGGTTGAAAAAGGTACTAACTATCAAGAACCCAAAGCAATTTGGGTACCTAACACTTCTTAAATTTGTGTTGTAGGTATGCTTCAAGACAACGTTTAATCAATGGTATCTTGATAGCGGTTGCTCGAAGCATATGACGGGAGACATAAACAAATTTTCAAGTCTATCATTAAAGGCCAAACACTACAAGAAAAACGATGGATTACAACTGTTATTTTGGCAGGTTACGACGGTTAAAACCACCATCAATTACATTCTACGACGGTTGTAGTACCGTCGCAGAAACGTGTGTCCCCAGGCTGTTTAGCGACGGTTGAAAAAACCGTCACACACAACCGTCGTTATATTTCACGACAGACTTGAACTGACCTAAACTGGAGATGGCGACGGTTAAAGACCGTCGTTACTAGCCTTTTGATTTTTATTTTTCAATGTTGATTGTGACGGTTTCAAACTGTCGTGAACTCTATTTCACGACTGGTTGGAACTGACATAAATTGGAAATGACAACAGTTAAATACTGTCGTGAATATCCTTTTAATTTTTGTTACTATTGTTGATTGTGACGGTTTAAAATTGTCGTGAATGTGATATCTTGACAGTTCATTATTAATTTTTATGTATTGTATTATATTGTTTTATAATATATTCTTTTATTTAAATTATTATCTACTAAATAGTTATATTATTGTTTCTTTAAATTATTTATACAATAATATTTTTATTTATAGTTTTTTTTTAATTTTTTTCTATCGCTTTTTAACGTAGTAAAATTAATTCCAAAACTTAATATCGAATAAACATTATAATATCGAAAAAACGTGAAGATTCATGTAAAATGAAAGTTCCATAATCATGTCATGTAATACAAAAATCCGAAAACATATCAAATCATAATCTTATAACAATAAGTATCATTGTGCCAAAAATATGAATAAGAAGGTTCATAATCTAAAAAGTATGTCATTATGGAATTCAAGCTTCTCCTCTGCCAACCAGTTTTCCAACAGATTTTTCTTGTTCTGGTTCAACCAACCGAGACAATTCTAATGATTCGAAGGCATTCAGCTTTCCCCTCGTTAAAAGTGTTCCAAAATACTGCAGCAGGGGCGGAGTTTGACCAACTTGGACGGGAACACTCTGCCAAATAGAACAGATAATCACATTTTTAAACACTGCGATTAAAGTTGAACAGAACTAAAAATGTAGGAAATTGATGGAAAAAGCAAGAAAAATTAGAGTGAAGAGAATATTTTCAAAAACAAAAACTAAATCTATTTACTTGAAAGAAAGTACAGTGATTAATCAATTTATAGAGAGGTCTAACTCAGATTAACTGATATGTACTACTGAAATGAAGTTGATGTCAGAATTCTTAACTGATATGTACTACCCAAATGAAGCTGGTGTCAGAATTACAGACAGCCAAAAAGAAACACTAGTAATTACAACAAGTGTCAGTAAGATAAGGAAATGTATGTCAAACACTGTTGAAATAAACTGAACTACAGACAGCCAAAAAGAAACACTAGTAATTACCTATCAAAATACTGCACTTTTATATATAACCAAACTACATGCAAGTTAGTATTATTCAGCATATAACCAAACTACATGCAAGTTAGTATTATTCAGCATATAACCAAACTTCATGTAAGTTAGTATTATTCAGCAGTTATATGAAACCGCATAAGATTAAACAGCAATACAACAAAGTTCTTGGGATCTCCCTGACAAAAAAAAACCAATAAAGAAAAAGTATTAATACTAAAGTTCAGTTCTACACAAAATTGACATACCAGCTTCTCAGCACCAGGAAGATTTCCTCTTTTGGCAAGACTGACAGCTAGCTCTAAATTGTTTAACTACAGCAGTAACCAATATGAAATGTGTTAAATGCAACTCATTCCCTGCTTCACATCATACAAGTGATAAAAAGGTCATAAACATACTTGGCCGCTGACAAAATTCACAATTGTTTGCTCATTAACAGTGGCCAACAAAACTTGGCCTCTCCTATTAATAGCATAAAATCCACCTGCTGATGTAGCTTCTGAAGTCAAAAATATAGGATCTGGACTAATTCTGTTCCTATATACAGTAGTAGCTGTCTCCAAGTCGTATACAAAAAGTAGGCCAAGTTTAGTAATCACATAAATCAAACTATATTTGTGGTGAATGCTCACAATCAAGCATGTCAATATCATGACTCTACTGCAGAGTTGACATGCGTTCCCATAATTATGCTAACTACTTCAACCTCAAAATTTAGAAAATTCCAATTTATACCCATCTACCGACGGCGTTAATCTTTTACCTTTTGTCATAAACGCAATAGATATGGTGAATTTAATATATATTGTGCTTTTAAGAATGTTATTACCATATTGTTTGAGAGGACATACCATATTAGAAGGAAGGTCAAGGTAAAGAATAATATGATTGCTTGTCACGTTAGCAACCCCGGGGCCAAATAACTTTTGCAGTAAATATCTTATGAGGACCTGCATAGTTATTGTGACAATTTCTGTCTTAGCATAAGTGCCATCATCAATATGAATATATTTAACAACTCTAAGTGAGCCATACATGAAACATAGTCTAGTAACTGTGGAAAACCTTTAGGAGGTTCCTGAAAGTATACAAAATCAACTATCCGCATATATGATTAATTGAGAAACATTAAAGTGCTGAGATCACAATCAAATGAAAAGTAGTGATGAAGAGAGCTTACAAGTTTTGAGTCATGAGAACCAACCGTTGCATCAAAAGAAAGATGTGGGGTGGATGAGAGTTCTTGTGGAAAAGGTCTAACAGATGAGTTTGTAATAACAGTACTTCCATTTTCTGAATGGAAACTGTTGCTCTCGCTGAACCGTCTGCTCGGAAGAGCTCGATCGCCTATGTCACCAGCTTCTGAAACACTCTCACAATCAACATCATTATCTGTGTGATGGCTTATATGACTTGACAAGCTCAACGAACGTCTTCTAATTGAAGAACCGTCGTCACTGTTCATTCTCTCCATGTTAACCATGCTAACACAGCCACATCAAACTAATAAGAAACTGTGTTGAACACCAAATTAATACAACTTTGACTCCTGCAACCAACCACCCTGCAACTTGAACAAGTTTAAGTTATAATTTAATACTTAACCATTTATTTATTTATTTATTATCATTGAAAGAAACACTTGATAATTACTTTTAAAATACGATATGCATTTCTGTTAGGCAATCAATATTATGGATGGATTCATGTGGATAATGACAAAAACAAAGAAAAAGATAGCACAAGCTACAAACAAGTAAACACGAATCAATGATGTCAACAAAATAGTAAAAATCTATGGTTGTTATTTGTCTTTTTTTAAAGCATGTCAATATCATCTAATAATATCCATAATTCAAACCAATTCAACACTGCTATAAAATTATCATGGAAAACCTGATACGAAAAATATTTTGCAAATTTGGGGTCCCTATAAAGTTATAGATACTCCAAGTTTAGTCCCTATAAATTTTATGTCCATTTTCAGTCCCTCCTTTCATGAAAAATAAGGGACTAAAAGCACCTAGTTTTTATAAAATGAGTGAATAAAAGCACCCATTTATTATAAAATGTGGGGGCTAAAAATTGATAATAAAAAATATAGGGATTAAAGACACATTTAACCAATTTATTTATTATGGATAAAGGTTTTTTGTAAGCAGCTGTTATGAACTGTATTTGTTAAAACTCAGAAGACTATATATTTATATACCTCATTGGCTCCAGTTGTGTCATCCACATGAAACTCCAAGATCACATCATTTTTCGCTTGAAGGTTTGTTTGAGAGACATCTGCTAAAGGCACCTCAAAAGCTTGCTTTGAACCAACCATGAAAGCCAACATATTACCTGAAATGGAAACAGAAGCATAAGAACATCCATTAGTAGTACAACTCCATCAAACCAGCTTTGCTATTTTGTATATTAAATATTAATTTGTGTATGTATTAATGAATAAGTATATTATTATAAAGTGAAAAAATATTAGTATATATTATTGAAAATATGACAATAAATGTCAAGTGCACGTGTAACTGCTCCAATACTAATAATGTTAAACTATAGAACTAATCACTTCACATATAATTTAAACAATAAGCATTAGAGATCCTCTAAGCTTGCATTGTTAGAGACACCGACACCCCCTAAATCTCCAAAAAGAAGTACTTCCGGGGCTAAATGGTCTATTTCATCTCTTCCCACTCAAGCTAAAACTTAGCTATTGAGCTAATTTGAGACATTTGAAAGTTTGCATCCAACTTAATATGTCTATATTACTCCCTCCAAAACAAAACAAAAAGCTCTAAATAAGTAAAACAAAAAAACTGTATCAAAAGACTAAACTGTCATTAACCATCAAATTCAAGTACTTTACACATCGTGTGAGAATTAGGAAACTCATGGGGTTAATAGATTTTATCAGTCTAATATTAACAAAAATGTAATACTTGTATTATTTTGTATTATAATACTTGTACATATTACAGAAGGAGACACAACATAAAAATGCAAGGGCGGCCTTAGCTCATATCTTCTTACTTTTCCCACAAAAAATTACAAAAGAAAAAAACAAATCTAGAGATATATCAATGGTCAGATACTTATCTTAAAGTATATATCTTCCCCAGAGAAAAACCGAAAGTTTCTCAAATCTTATAATAATACACTACCAGTAATAATCAAATAGCTTAGAAGTAATAACCATAAAGAGACACCACTCACATACCCATCTCCCAAAAAAACCCAAAACCAGAATCATTACATATCATATTCTAGTTTTCTATTATAAGAAAGCTTCTGCCTTAAATTTCACTGTTACTCATATGCTTCCCATGGCATAGAAACACCATTTGTAACACTAAAACAAGTTACTTCTTTCTTTTTTTACAATGAGCAAATCCAAAGCTCAAAAAAGCCTACTATTACTACTCATGTAAGCCAAAAAGAAAACCAAAACCAACAACAACATTAGGAAGCAAAACAAGAATCACAACCACAACTACAACCTCAACATGTAGTAGAAACAAAACAACCTAAAAAGAAACAAGAATAGAGGAAGCTGAAAAAGGAAATAGTCCCTGAAGAAAACAACAAGAAATGCAAGAAGATGAAATGTTCGATATCCAAACAAACAAAGAATAAAATAAACTAAATATGAAAACTGAGATGAAAAAAGATCCAAAACTCGGCAAAGTAAACTCTATTTCATTTATACTTGCAATAAACAACTTCAACAAGTTCCAATTTTTTCAAAATTGAACTTAAGAAGGGATTAGGGTTTTGATAAGACAAACCTCTTAAGATTCAAATTGATGGTGGTTACTTTGACGGTGATTCGCAGTGACGGCGTGAGCGGCTGAAAAAAATGAATGTTTCTCTATTTCTCCAATGGCGTGTTCTATGTTCTGAAAAAGAAGAGCAAACAAAACCATAAAAATGGGTATAAGGTTTTAATGGGAAAGATGAATTTATGGAGGACGACAGGTGAAATCACCGTCGCGACCTTTGCGAAGAAAATGGGATAGCGATGGTAGGTTCACCGTCGTGATGGTAGAGTTTTATTTTAATTAAATTTATTTACTTTTTCTTTTAATTCTCTTAAATAAATAAAGATTGGTTAACTTTTTATTATTATTTGATATTTTATAGTATTTTGAGTATATACAATTTAATTTTTGTTTTTAAAATGTTGAGTTTATAAAATTTTGATATATATAGTTTGATATTTATACTGTAATTTTAGGTATAATATTTTGAGTTTAATTTTTACTATAAAAATTGTTTTTAAAATTAATTTTTTATTTTGAGTATATATAGTATTTTAATTTTTATAGTTTAATTTTTAGACATAAAATATTTTATTAAAATTAACTATAATTTTTAAAAAAATTTATGCATTGAGTTTTATTTATTGTTATAATTGTATTTTATAAATGTTTCTAGTAATCTATTTATTCAAAATACATAGATTGATTTTTAGTCCTACAAACCAGTAATTCTTATGTATTGAGTTTTATTTATTGTTATAATTGCCATGAAAATTATAATATTATAATAATTATTTATTAAATTAATTAATAAAATTGAAAAGGTTAGAAAATAAAAATGAAGAAAAAAGTGAAAAATGAAAGGAATAAAAAAATAGTGATTATGATTGACTAAAGTAATTGCGACAGTTCGCGTTAACTGTCGCAGGTACGAAAAGAGGACGGTTCTTTGGTAAGTGTCACATTATTTTATACAACATGCCTAAATAATTTGTGACGGTTGGCTCAAACCGTCGTGAGAACTGTCGTAGTCTAGGAATAAGGACGGTTTTCTGATAACTGTCGCAAAAAATCTATGACAGTTGACCCTAACTGTCGTGACAACCGTTGCAATCCGGGAATAAGGACGGCTTTGTGATAACTGTCGCAACTCAAGTGTCGTAAATATCCTTTTTTCTTGTAGTGAAAGGATACGTCACTTACGGTGATGATAATAAGGGATAAATTCTTAGAGTTGGAACCAATTGTGCACCTCCATGTACAATCATCGAAGACGTTCTTTATGTGGAAGGCCTTAAACACAACCTACTTAGCATAAGTCAATTGTGTGACAAAGGGTTCCGAATCAACTTCACAAAGGAGGAATGCTTGATAGAACATGAAGTCACTCATGACATTTTGCTAAAAGGTAAAAGATATAATAACATTTTTATGATTTCTTTTGATAACTCTTCCTTGAAGGTAAAGTGTCTTATGGCGAACAACAACGAGGCGTGGCTTTGGCATAAAAGATTTGCTCACATTCACATGGAGCATTTAAACAAGTTGATAAAGCATGATCTAGTTGTTGGTCTTCCGAAGATAAAATTCATCAAAGATAAGTTATGCGATGCATGTCAAAAGGGGAAACAGACCAAGACAACTTTCAAATCCAAGCAAGTGGTTTCTACATCAAGGCCACTTCAATTGTTGCATATGGATCTTTTTGGTCCATCAAGAACAAAAAGCTTCGGAGGTAACTTTTATGCCTTAGTTATTGTTGATGATTTATCTCGATACACTTGGACATTGTTTTTAGTGTAGAAAAATGATGCTTTTAAAGCATTCAAGAAATATGCAAAGCAAATTCAGAATGAGAAATCACTCACCATAGCCTCTATAAGAAGCGATCACGGTGGAGAATTCCAAAATTCAGACTTTGAAGATTTTTGCGAAGAGCATGGAATTTCTCATAATTTTTCAGCACCAAGGACGCCTCAACAAAACGGTGTCGTAGAACGGAAGAATAGATCACTGGTGGAGCTTGCAAGGACAATGCTCAGTGACGCAAATCTTCCTAAATATTTTTGGGCAGATGCAGTTAGTACAGCATGCTTCGTAAGCAACCGTGTCAATATTCGACCACTCCTCAAAAAGACTCCGTATGAGTTGTTCAAGGGTAGAAAACCAAATATAGCATTCTTCCACATATTCGGATGCAAATGCTTTGTTCTCAACAACAACAAAGATAATCTCAGTAAGTTTGATGAGAAATCCAACGAAGGTATATTTCTTGGTTACTCTCTTTATAGTAAAGCATTTAGAATTTTTAATAAGAAAACACTTACTATTGAAGAATCCATTCATGTTTCGTTTGATGAGACTCACCCCTTGAAAGAGGATAATATTATTATGGATGATGATGATGATGATATAGTAGGTTCTTCACAACAACAAGAAGAGATTTCAAATAATCAAGAAATACCACAAGAAGATGTCACTCAAATTATTGAAGAACATCAAGATCTTCTGAAATAATGGAGAACGCATAGAGATCACCCGATAGATAAAGTTATTGGTGATATTAGCCAAGGCGTTGCAACTCGACTTAATCTAAAGGATGCTTGTCTCAACATAGCTTTTGTGTCTCAAATTGAACCAACCAAGATTGATGAAGCCTTAGGCGACGACCAATGGATTGTAGCAATGCAAGAAGAACTCAATCAATTCGAAAGGA